ATATGACACCATAAACAGTCCTTAGTTTTAGCTATCTTTTATTGTATTTCTTCCTTAACCTTCCATTTCTCTCCCCTCCCAATTTGATCCTCCCATTTCAGTCTCCCCACCATCCATCTATCCATAGCTACCTATTCTGTTTCCTTATCCTAGAGTGATCCAAGCCTCAGTCTATTCCCCTTCTCTATATCTAATGTCTGTGGTTACATGGATTGTAGGTAGCCTGCTTATTTGATACTCTGTAAATGAATACATTCCATATTTTAGGGGTCTGAGATACCTCAATTAGGCTGATGTTTTCCTCGCTCCATCCATTTATCTGAGAATTTCATAATTTCATTCTTTTAATAACGGCTGAGTAATACTCCATTGTGTAAATGTGCCACATTTTCTTTATCCATTTATTTGTCAAGGGACATCAAGGTTGTTTACCATTTCTGGATATTATGAATAGAGCAGCAGTGTACATAGTTGAGCAAGTGTCCTTGTGGTAGGATGAAGCAAACTTTGGGTATATGTCCAAGAGTGAGATAGCTGAATCTTGAAGTAAATAGATTTGTATCTTACACCCTGATTTCCATAGTGACTACACAAGTTTGCTCTCCCTCCAGAAATGGATGAGCCTTCCCCTAACTCCGTATCTTTGTTAGGATGAGCTGCCTTTGTTTTTATTGAACTTGGAAATTCTGACTGGTGTAAGAGTTGATTTGCATTCCCCTTATAACTAAGAATGTTGTACATTTCTTTTAGTGTTTCTCAGCCATTTTTCCCTCTTTCTACAACACTATGTTTAGTTCTGTACCCCATTTTTAATTTGGTAATTTGTTTTATTGATGTCAAATTTTTTTGAGTTCTTTACATATTTTAGTTATTATCCCTTTACCTGATGTGTAGATGGTAGTTTTCCCTATTCTGTATTCTGCTGCTTTGTCCAAATGATGGTACCCTTTATCATACAGAAGCTTTTCAATTTCAAAAGGTTATATTTAATAATTTCTGTTCTTAGTGCTATTGGTGTTCTATTCAGAAGGTCTTTTACTGTGCCAGTGAGTTCAAGATGGAGGTCATAAAGGAATGATGTCATTCTAAACAGAACATGAATGATTAACTCATGGAGAATATGGCATCATGTACCAGTTTGAGATTGGTGGGGTCCCAGTGTTAAGAAGTCACATGGAGGCCAGGCGGTGGTGGCGCACGCCTTTAATCCCAGCACTTGGGAGGCAGAGCCAGGCGGATCTCTGTGAGTTCGAGGCCAGCCTGGGCTACCAAGTGAGTCCCAGGAAAGGCGCAAAGCTACACAGAGAAACCCTGTCTCGAAAAACAAAAAAAAAAAAAAAAAAGAAGTCACATGGATACAAGACCATGTCTCTAACCCAGAATCTGTCTCCAATTTATAACCACTTGAAAGCAAATAAATTTGCTTTCTCCAATGGAGTCTCACTGGGTATACAAACCAGTTTCAAGGTCAGGTTCCAAACCCATCAGTAGATGGCTAATACAAAACAAACTCACATCTTACTGAGCAAGTGTAATTTCAAACTTATTTTTTCATTTTTTTGAAAATAGATCATTTTCTCATAAAATACATCCGAAATACAGGTTCTCCTCCCTCTACTCCTTGCAGTTCTTCCTCACCTCCCATCCCCTACAGTTATACTCCATTCCTGTTTGTCCTTAGAAAAGAAAAGACTTCTAAGTGATAACAATCAAACATGACAAAATAAAATACACCAAATTAAAGCAAAACCCATCACATCAATTCTGGACAAGACTACTCAAGTGAAGGAAAATAGCAGACATGAGAATCAAATTTCCACTCATTCACATGCTCAGGAGTTCCATAAAAATACTAATCTGAAAGCTATACTATATGCAGTTGACCTGGTGCAGATCATTGCAGGTCCTGTGCTTGCTGCTTCAGTCTCTGTGAGTTCATATTAGTCTTGTGGAGTTGATTTACATGGTCTTGTTCTCCTGGCATCCTCTGTCCCCTCTAGCTCTTAGACACTTTCTGCCTCCACCATGGGGATCCATGATCTCTGAGGTGAGGGATTTGATGGAGAAATAATATTTAGATTCTCTTGCAGTAGTAATTCAGGCTGTGAGTATCTGAATCTGTTCCTATCTGCTGTAGGTGGAAGTTTCTCTCATGAGGACTGCATAAAGCATTGATCTATGAGTGTAGTAGAATATCACAAGGAGTCATTTTATTGAGATTTTTTTATACCAGTAGTGTTTTGCTTTACCCTAGGTAATTGTTGAGGAGGGCAGGAATTTAGGAGAAAGGAAAGTGGTAGACATGAGAGGAGTTGGGGGAAGGAAAAGGAATGGAGGAAATGATACAATTCTATTCTTATAAAATAGTAATGAGAAAAAGAATATTTGTTTATGTGTATTTCTGTATGTGTATCTGTAGAATCCAGTAAGAGTTAGATTCCCCGGAGCTGAGTTGTTAACTGCCTGATGTGGGTGCTGGTAATCAAATGCTAGTCCTCTGAAAGTCTAGTAAATGCATGTATCCACTGAGGTATCTCTCCAGTTCCCCAATCCAGTATCTTTTCAAAACCATGTTCTTGCTTGAGACAGATGTTGCAATACAGTGACTTCTCCCTCTACTTTCTTATGACTGCAGAGAAATGTTTGTTGTGTTATCTATCACTTAGTTTCCCCATCTATGTGACCAACTTCTTTACAAAAGCAATTCACAGGAAGAAAGTTTGGGGCCCATATTTTTTTTTGTTTGTTTTTTTCGAGACAGGGTTTCTCTGTGTAGCTTTGCGCCTTTCCTGGATCTCGCTCTGTAGACCAGGCTGGCCTCGAACTCACAGAGATCCGCCTGCCTCTGCCTCCCGAGTGTTGGGATTAAAGGCATGCGCCACCACCGCCCGGCTATGGGACCCATATTTTTAACTCATATTTTCAGAAAGTTCAGTCTGTTTTGTCAAAGGAAGGCTTTGTGGAATAGATAAAGAGTAGGGGGTACTTTGCCTGCTTTGCCATTTTCATTGTTAGTTCTGTCCAGACATCTTCCAACCCATGAGATGGTGCCACCTACCTGAATTCTATTTTATCTTCACTTTAGCTAATCTGGAAACACTTGTATGTAGACCCACTGGTCAGTCCTTCACCAATGTACTGAGTGATTCTAAATCTATTCATATTCAAAATGAAGATAATCATCACAGGTTATAATTGATTTCTCCACTTCTAGTCTTACATAAGTATGTTTCACTGAAAAATAGAACAGTTCTGTCACAAATTATTTTGTTATTCCTCATATTAAGTAAAATTGTCATCTCCTAACTTCAGGTAATTTTCCAATTAATTTCTCAAAGGCATACTTTTTCCCTCCTCATGTTAAATGAATATTCTCTCATCCCTTTGCAAATGAATGTGTTTGGCTATTTACAACTTATGAATGCATGTACACAGCCGTGTTTATAGCTCAGTTCATCTTAATGTAGAATTGTAAAGGAATACTAATCACTTTAGCCTACAACATTTCTGAAGGCATACACCCACCCAGCCAAGAGAAAGAGCATTATTTTCTTAACTTTTCCAACAGAGAGACTGCTTATCTTTTTTTGCTTGGAAACTGAATATCATGGACCAAAGTTGAAGAAGAGTTCACAAACTCATTTTAGATTTTCAATATAACATTTGACATGAACTTTCTAGCAATGAATTTCATTACCAGTTTTTATTTCCTTTTAAATTAAAGCTGCATTACAAGAGATGTGATAAATTATGGGCCTTGGTACAGTTACTAATGAAACAAGTAGAAAGTAAGACCATCACATTTGTTTGAGATGCAGATATAAGACAGGTGGAAGGGACCTTAAGGAGGTACAGATTATCTTGACTTTATTACCGTGACAATTATTGGCAGGTTAGTAATAATGATATGTACTCTGATCTATTTTATTTCCAGGACAGTTTGGCTAGGATCTCATTCTAATTTCTAGAAGACATTTTCTTAAGTCAAATATATAGAGAATAAAAGTAGTAATTTGAGAGTTATTGCAGAAGGAGAAAATGGGAAAATGTAGGCAAAGCAATATAACAAACATCTTGTATAAACAGCTTTAAAATTATGAAGTACAATGAATAAAATGAATGTGTTTGAGGATAGGTAACATATTGAGGAAATTTTAAAGTGTGTATAGGATAGCTGTCCTTGACACTGGAAGAAAAATGGGTACACATGTAAGGCACTATATATATATATATATATATATATATATATATATATATATATGTCATTTATTCTCTTACAGTAGCAATTTTACTGTAAAATATACATAGACATTATATCTTATTACATGTTGTATACTTAAATATTACAAAATAGTGTAGTTTTGGAGATTTTGTATTTGTTAAAAAGTAGCAAATAACACAATTTCTATGGTGCTGTTTTGAAAACTTGGTTCAATTGGCAAGATTAACATAGACACTGGATTAAGGTGAATGTGAATCACATGTACTGTATTCTCCAATTTGAGATCTGAGCTTTAACATAATATTGGTTTTTCCCATCTTGATCTTTTAGAACATATGACCTATTCCGCCAGACTTTTTCCATTGTGCTCCACAATAACAATATAAGTACTACATTCATAGAAATGAATTTTATGTACCTTTTTCTATGCTTATATTGTTTAATTCAAATTTCTGTATAGGTTACTTACTTATTAAACACGAGTTAGATTGATCAAAATCTGAACTATTATCTTGTTTTTCTTTCTTCTATTCCAAAACTTATTGAATGATTTTAATTGTCTAGGTTCAGCATACTTTCACATACAGAGTTTGAAATATTCTGATTTTATTTCTCAAGTAAATTAGAACAATTTCCCTCCATAGAGATTCTTAACTGGAGCAGGACTTACTTAACATTCAGAGGAGCAGATCCCCAAAGCTCCAAATGACGACACAAATTCTATGAGCCATTTTCACATGAGCTGACATCTGGACAAGAAGTTATTTCCTGGTACAGTCAGCCTCCTGGGTAGAGAGCGTGCCATCTCTGTGAGCTCCAAAAACAACCATTTCGTGCTGAGTGTCATGTCAAGCACTTTGTGCATGCTCAAGCAAACAGTTCTCAAATTGAAGTGAAGACATGAAAGGGAGAAAGAAAAACCCTGGAGCCAGATGGAGCTCTTGAAAGTAGACACTCAGGTAATATAAGTAGCTTGTTTACTCAAACTTGAAAAGCTGTATGTTTTCTGACTCTCTGCATAATCAAACATTTCCTACCAATAATATCACAAACTACACACTAACTTTGGATATTTTTTCTTCCCCTTTTATAAGATTACCAATTTTGGAGACACTTTTAAAATTCAGACTGTGAACAAATATTACCTGTTTTATTGTTTATATTCCATAGGTTAGCCTTGAATGTTTCATTGTCTTTTTTTGACAAGCAATAGGTTAATTTTTCCAATCATGTACTTTGGTTGGATGTTTATTACTTAATTGTCAGATATTATATATTAAATAGTCACTAAATATTTGTAGAATGCACATTTGATTGTATGTCTAGTCTGCATATACCTTTACTCTCTGAGTTTTGACATTTTCTCCTTTGTTCACGTACAATGCACTCACACACAGTGGATTTTCTCTCTCTCTCTCTCTCTCTCTCTCTCTCTCTCTCTCTCTCTCTCTCTCTCCTCTCTCTCTCTCTCTCTCTCTCTCTCACACACACACACACACAAGCACATACAAAAATGATTTTTTTAGTAAACTTCAATGTTCAATGGCCCAGTTAGCATGAATTTGCAAGTATGTTGTGTTTAGCTCACCCAAATCACAGTTATAATAATTTATTAACATTCTTTCCTTATAAAATTTAATAGCCATGATACATAGGAGGAATATAATACAAATTTCGCATATTGATATCATATCTAAATACATGAATGATATTTAGATTTCTCTTTTTCCTTTTTTTAATTAAGAGATTTTCTATTCGTTTTACATATCAACCACAGATTCCCCTGTCCTCCCTCCTCCCACCCCCCAAACTTGCCACCCAACACACACCCCATTCCCACCTCCTCCAAGGCAAGGTCTCCCCTCAAGGCCTCAGCTGAGGCAGGTCCAAGCCCCTCCTCCCTGCACCAAGGCTGATCAAAGTATCTCAGCATAGGCACTAGGTTCCAAAAAGCCAGCTCATACACTAAGGACAGGTCCCAGTCTCACTGCCTGGATGCTCCCTAAACAGTTCAAATTCATTCGGTATTAATGAAACAGATATCTTGGTAAAAGGTGGGAAAACAGATGTATTATGAATTTATATGCAATACAGAAAAATTAATATAAGCAGACATACTTTTAACAAAAATTTCTTAATAAGTTCTACATTTGTCTCATAATTTTGAATATTTTTTTACAATTTCAATGGAAACTTGAACCCACATAGGAAGTACCATTATTGATTTGAATGATTACATTATATTAAGTTTTAGTCTGTGACTTTTAAAGAGATTAAGTTAATCCTCTCAACAAATACTCTTTTTCTTTGATCCTCATTATACATATAAAAAGTATTAATGTATCAAAGATAATTAATTGTTTCAAACTTGTGCTGACAGAAAATGAGGGAACTAGGATTTATGGCTGATACTTTGGCTGTAGAAAGCATCTTTCTTACCTGTTTGCATTCTTATCCACTCACCTAATGGCTATGTGAATTACTTTCTTTCAGGAGAGAAGTCACCTTTAAAATAGTCCATGTGCTTTCAATAAATAATTTTTATTTTTTTAGAAGAGCTTTAAGGTCAAATGTAAGTTGAGCTGAAAGTACAATTATTTCATACTCTGTGACCAAACATAGGTAACCTACACAACTATCACTGTCCCCTACAAACTGGTAATATTGTTTCATTTTATGGAATTGCATGGCTATATAGTCAGCACTTCAAGTCGGGCTTCTTTTGGGTCATATACATCATATATGCAATGGCAGATATTAATTTTGTTGCATCATATAGGAGAGCTTAATTATTTAGAGAAATCTTCACTTTTCTTCTTGTTTATGACTTCCAGTTCCCTATCTTTTAGGAGACAATAGTCATTTAAACTATCTCTAGAACTTTGCTTTCTCATGAATGTTGTATAGTTGGAATCATGTGGCATGTAGAGTTTGTCATATTGGAGCAATATGTATGTAAGATTCTCCCATGTCCAGTCATGTGTGATAGTTCATTTATTCTGATATTAAATAAAAATTTACTGTGATTTTCCTCATTTTATTTATCCATTAACCTACTGAAGGTCATCTTGGAGAAATTTAAGTTTACGGAATAATGAATAAAGCTGCTATAAACATGATAGTTCAGGTTGTTGTAGGTAGAATGTTTTAACTGATTTGAGGAATATTGAGGTGTTAATGCTACATCATATAGAAGGAGTTTGTTTTGTTCTGAGAGAAACTGTCAGAATTTTTTTAATTTCATGTTTTGTTGAAAGTAATGTTTCATAATGTATATGCTAATCAAAGTTTACCTTCCCTCATATGTCCTATGAACCCTCCCTTCCCCTTCAATTCCATAACTTCATTGTTTCTGTTTTCTGAAAACAAATGTGCATATTAAAAAATCAAACTACAATAAAACAAAACAGAAAATACAAAGTAAAGTCATTAGAAACATATACACTCACACACAAATGTACACACATACACATACAAACATGTACACACAAATCATGAAAACACATAATCAGAAACTATAATATATAATCAAGAGAATCATAAGATTAAAAAAAAATCTCCAAAAATACCAGAGTTTGCTTTGTTTTGGTCATCTAATGCCTGCCTTTAAGTGTAGTTTGTATACCAAGTAAGAGTCCATCGTAGAAACTGATTTTCCCTTTGTGAGTAGTTGCTGATTGGAGAAAGCGTCTTGGTTTGGGTGGGATCCCAAATCTGCTCCTTTCTCTCAGTACTAGTACCTGATCTGGCTTGGACCTGTGCTGGCCTTGTGCATGCTTCCACAGTCTCTGGGAATTCATATGTGAAGCAGTCCTGTTGTGTCTGAAAAGCACTATTTCCTTGGTGTCTTCCAGCCCTACTGGCTCTTATAATCTTTCTAAAACTAAGGAGCATTTGAGGGGCCATGCAGAAACCTACTATAATAGAAGCTTCCAAAAAAAATTACATAAAAGGCATCTAAATATAATCATCAAATAGTGGGGTAGATAAGAACAACTAGACTTCTCTCACCAGAAAGTGAAACCTCCAGTACCAAGAATGGTTTATATTTGATTTGTTGGTCAAAGTGGCCTCAGGAAAGTCCATACACAACTCAAGCTATTGCCAATGATATTGGTTACTTTCTGCAAACTGATGATAATTCCATTTCTAAGGACAAAACCTACAATCTTCATTGAACACATGCAAGTCAAGCTGGTACCTAACTAGAATCTTCACCCCCCCAGTGAATAGTGTTCACAATATTGGAAGGAAGTCTGCATGCTACCAAAGGAGAAAGGTAAAGACCAGTCCAACTACAAACTTTTCTATCTACAATGATGGTGTGATTTCATGACATACTATTGCAATAGTAACACAAAAGTTGTGGGAGTAACCAACCACTATCTGAGTAGTATTGGATTTAAGGCTCACACAAGATGGAATCCATGGTGGCACTACTTAGGTAGCCAAGAACCTGAGACTAGAATGGGCATCGATCTAGTTGAAAATCACATAATATTGTTATGATAAACAATAGTAATGGTAGTAGTACCATTACTTCTAATCACATTCAATGTAGATCAGTATCTCACTTGGCCATCATCAGAGGAACTTATTTCTGCAGTACATAGGAATTAATACAGAGACTCATAATTGTACAATGTGTAGATAGTGAGAGACTTTGGAACACTCAGTCCTAAATGGCATGTCTTCACCAGCCCCCTCCTACTGTCAATTATTTTTTTTTAATTTTATGGCATTTTTTTTCTTTTTATTGAAATAAATTGCTTTTCTCACATAATGCATCCTGATAAATTGTGAAAATGTTTATAAAGTGCTGTGTCATTTTCTTTCACAGTAGAAATGAATGAGAATTCCTGTTGCTCCAAATTCTTGCCAAAATTTTTTGTTGTCTTGTCTCTTGGCATTGCCATTCAGTGTTCAAGCAATACATTTTAACTTTGGTTTTCAATTCCCTAATGACATTTTATGTTGGAGGTTCCATACATAAAATGCTTCCTTCCTGTCTCTATCATCTGTGAGACTGTTCTATAAGTCCTTAGATATTAAATTCTTGTTGTTAATTTTCTTATTAAGCTTTAACAGTTCTCTCTCTCTCTCTCTCTCTCTCTCTCTCTCTCTCTCTCTCTCTCTCTGGCACTCACTTTCTCTGTCTCAACCTCTGTCTCTGTTTCTTTGTCCCTCTCTCTTTATGCCTCTGTCTCTGTCTCTGTCTCTTTCTGTAAATTTGGATAATAATTGTTAATGGAATGTTTCCTTGGAAAGTATCATCTTATGTTTCTTCTTGCATCTACATTGATTTACACAATGCAGAAATGTATAATTTGAATGGAAACTAGCTAATAAATTATTTCATATACTTTTCCTTTTGTATTATATGGAAAACTCATTGCTATGCCCATGGCTATATTAATTAGCTCTTATATTGCCTATTGTGATTCTTATAATTTTCTCCTCTACATTAATATTTTGTGTCAATTTTTGTCAAAAGTGTATGGTGTATGTCTCAAATAAATCTTTGTGGAGTGGATGCCAAATTGTTTCAACATCATTTATTCAAAAAATAATTCTTTGCTTTTCTGTGTAGTCTGATAATTTTAAAATCACTTCAAGACATACTTTTCCTCTGCATTTTAATTTGCCCTATATTTTGCTGTGGGATGGTCTGTATGTCAAATGCTCTGATTGGTAAATAAATAAAACACTGATTGGCCAGTGGCCAGGCAGGAAGTATAGGCGGGACTAACAGAGAGGAGAATTGAGAGAACAGGAAGGTAGGGGTAGACACTGCCAGCCCCCACCATGACAAGCAGCATGTGAAGATGCCGGTAAGCCAGGAACCACGTGGCAAGGTATAGATTAATAGAAATGGGTTAATTTAAGATATAAGAACAGTTAGCAAGAAGCCTGCCATGGCCATACAGTTTGTAAGCAATGTAAGTCTCTGTGTTTACTTGGTTGGGTCTGAGCAGCTATAGGACTGGCGGGTGAGAGAGATTTGTCTTGACTGTGGGCCAGGCAGGAAAACTCTAGCTACAATATTTTCACTGGTGTTGAGAAATGCACCATGGTGTACTGGATAAAATGAACTAGAAGATGTAAACCTTCGGTAATACAGCAGGAAGGAATGAATGGAAAAACGGGAAGTATTCTTTACTCCTATAGTAAAGTAGCAATGTTTTGGTTAACCTGTGTGAAAGACACAGGACTTTTCAGTTTTCTCCCAATAGGTGAGCAGGATGATTGAATGTATATAGAGTTGTGAATTTCTCTTTCCCTAAATGATAGGCTAGAACTGACTAGAATTGGATAATTCCTTTTCCCTGAGCATATTGAACTTTGTAATAAGTCCAGAAGGTCCAATATTGATAAAACAATTTTTCCTGACTGTAATATTTATGAACAAAAATGACCAAGAGATCTCATGCATTTCAGAATGATTATTTTCCTTTCTTGTCTAAGATGTTTATGCCTTTGATGTTTACTGTGGTGAAGTAGGAGATATTCTGGATGTTAGAACACAAACTTGTGACTATTACTGAGCTACTATAAAATAATCTCTTTCATGTTTGCACATACCAAAGTGTCAGCAATTTGCCAATTACAACTGTAGTTTTCTTTTATGATATAGATATCCTTAAAAGGATTTCCGGTTGATTTCTACACATGTAAGTTGTGATTCTGTACCTATTTTACCTTTAAATATAATATTCTTCATTTTATGTGTATAGATATTCTGCCTGCATGTATGCCTTTGTACCATTTGCATACTTGATGCCCTAAGTGGATAGTAGAAAGCATCAGATTCTCTGGAACTGGAGTTACAGTCATCTGTAAGCCACTATGTAGGTCTGGAATCAAACCTCCACTCTCTGGAAATTCAGTCAGTGCTCTCAACTTCTGAGCTATCTCTAAAGCCCATACTATTTAGTCCTCCAATTTGGGGGGGAACTGTTTATGCCAGTGACTTAATTTCTCTGGTGATATAAAGAGTGATTGCCTTTCACTGCCTGGTGGTAGTGGTGCATGATTTTAGTACAAACACACTCAGTAGGCAGAAAAAGGTGGTTCTCTGAGTTATAGGTCAGCTTGGTCTACAGGAAAGTCAAGGCAACACAGAGAAACCGTGTCTTTAAAAAACAAAACAAGAAATAGACAAAACATAAATACATAAATAAACAAAAGTAAAAACAGAAAGGAAAAACAAAAAATAATTTCAGAAAACAAAACAGCAGCAAAAAGAATGATTGCCTTCCCATTTTGTTTAGGTTGTTCTTTGTTTTTTGTTTTTGTTTTTCTGATGTTATTTCATTTAGCTGTTAAGAAGGCATGACAGAGGATAGAATTTCTTGCACCCTAGACTAGAAACTGGGAATCTCAAAGCTTTTAAATGGTATTTTTAGAGGATAGTTGTACCCTTTGTAGATATCAAGTATGATATTTGATGTGATGTTTGAGAAATTGACAGAATATAAAAGAGGAATCCAATGCATTTTAAAATATTTTTTTCAGTTTTCCAATTGAAATTCTATGCATGAATATGTGTGATGTTATAATAAACAGAAATTTATTTTCATTTTTTTCTTTTGAAACAGGGTCTCTCACTATAGGTCTGTTTGCCCTGGAATTCACTCTGTATACCAGGCTGGCATCAAATTCAGAGATCACCTTGCCTCTGCTTCTTGAATGCTGGGTTTAAAGGAGTGTTATAAAACTGCTTGGCCAAAATATTTTACTATATTTTATCAATTATACTATGGAAACTAGTAATATATAGACACTTTAATTATATACAGAATAAAGATATATCTTTATTAGTAAAAATATCTCTAGATATTTTTCTATGGTAATTCCTAACTCTTGAACTATAATCATAATGACATTATGTACTGTTCCGTGTATGTATGCCTATATTCTTTGAGAGAGGGTCTTATTGTACAGACTAGACTCAATTTGAACTCATGACAATCTTTCTGCCTCAGCTTTCTGAGTTCTGGATGTATAATCATGTGCCACCACACCTGGCTACAAAAGCATTACATTTTCTAAAATACCAAATCCATTTTATCCATGATTCTGTTACTTTATGTATAAGTATATAGAGATAAAGCATCATGGTTATGTTGGTTTTAATCATGTTCTAAAAAAGGGATGCAAAGTGATATGATTTAATGAACATAAACATTAGGGAACTATAATGCTCTAAATTCAAGTTGATATTATGTCATTTTTTGGCTCTGCAGGTTCTGACAAATTATTTGAACTGGCTAATGCTGTGGAATATTAGTTTAAGATGTGTGACATTTGTTTATGCTGTGGAATATCTGTTTAATGAAGCAAAAATTCATTGCATTCTTCTATATTGCATTTGTTTAACTCGGTAAACCTGTGTTACTTTGCCTGTCTGAAACACTTGATTGGTCTAATAAAGAGCTGGAACAGCCAGTAGCTAGGCAGGAGAGAGAAATAGGTGGGGCTGGTGGGTAGAGAAATAAATAAATAGGAGAAGAGAAAAGGGAAAGAAGCAAAGGAGATATGCAGTAAAAGTGGTCCAGAAGGGGAAAATATCTCTGAACAGTTTCCAGTGTGTTTAAAATGTGTGTAGGCTTAAGAAAGAAAAGAGAGAGAATATAGATAGTCATAGAAAGAAATAGTTTAAAAATAGTAGTCTTTAAAGAGAGAGTAAAAATAATATAAAGGGTGAAAAGTCACATGACAATGGAAAATTCACAAGGAGTCTAGTTCCTATTATCATGTTGATTTTAAATTTTTTGATTGCTGATAAGGAAATGACAGCTGCTAAGAGACATGGGATTGAAAGAGAATATGCCTAAATAAACCAGCCTGTATACTTTAGGAATGCCTTAACTTTAAAATGGAAGTCAAAATATGTACTTGTCAAATGGAATTAAAAAATGTTTTGTAGAAGTGATTATGCTTTTGTTTCCACAGGAAATGAGAGGCTCTGGATTCCTTCAGGTTGATATGAATCGGAATCTTGACAAGTGACAGTATCGACAAAGAGTACAATTGGTCTTCCCAGGACACTGTTATTATCTCAATTTCTCAGGTACCTAAAGATACCTTTGCCCACAGACAACAAGAAACAGTCTAAAGAAGAGGACACTCAAATTCCCAAGAGATGGGATAGGTGGTTGTTGGTTATTTGTGGATTATGGATGTTTGTTATCATTTAGGGGAATATTGGAATATAAGACTAACAGACAATTATTAATCTCAGATATTTTGTATTGGCATAGATTTGGTATACTGATACAAAATTTAAGTTATTCTCATTACACTGTATATATGTTTTTACATTTGGAGTATTGTGCTTATGAAGTTCATTTAAAAATGCAATGAATAAGAAATGAGGTTAGTAGTTAATATATTATAATCAAACTTGCAGTCACATTAGGTTTGTTTTGAAGGTTTAACAGGTATATTTTAGACAGATGATTTTCAAACACTTCAAAGGCCTACAGAATATGGCACTTAAAGGTGTTTAATAACAGATATTTTCATGGCAATGAGACATACCTGCTCCTGGAAGCACCAATTTACTTCATGAAAGGATGGTAAACACTGAAGAAACTCCATTTGGAGTTTGCTTTCAATGTGGCAAGTCTAGCCATTTGTGCAAGAAACTGCTCTTGCCTTGACTCCTGACAGTATGCTGTATCTTTACAAGTGAGGTAGGAAAAAGACTGTTGCACTTTGCCAAAATAAGGCAGGGCTGTTCTTCAAGATTCCTGCTTCACAAAAGAAACTGCCAGATAATCTGCAGGACACAGAGGAAAGCAACTGATGAAGTTGCCAATACAATTCAGGACAGTCCTTCAAATTTCTGGTTTCACTGAAAAGTCTGCATTGTGTTCTAGACTTTTAGGCCAAAGAGAGATGCCTCAACATTGCAGAGAATCTTTGCATGACTCTACAGGCAGCCAGGTGTCTCTGTTGTTAGGTACATGCTTCTGGAGACTTTGATGGAGTTTAAGACTAAATAGTTCGAATTATTGCTTTCCTTAGTTATGATAAAAAGTAAATTAGGTATAAAACACTGGAATCAATAAGAGAAGATTGATAATGGAGTATTTTCTCTAAATTTACTAAATACAAATGAAATGAATATTGTAAATGCAATTCTTACTTGATAACTGTTTTTGTTGTATATAATTTTACTATATTAAAGTTAAAACCACTCATTTTTATTTAGACCATCAAGGGCAAATGTTGTGGAATACTAGTTGAACATGTCTTACATTTGTTCATGCTGTGGAATATTTGTTTAATGATGCAAAGATGTGTTGCATTCTTTTCTGTTGTATTTGTTTAACTCTATGAAGCTGGGTTACTTTACCTGTCTGAAACACCTGATTGGTCTAATAAAGAGCTGAACATCCAATAGCTAGGCAGGAGAGACAAATGGGAGGGCTGGTGGGTTTAGAGTTTAAATAGAAGAAGCAGAAACAGGCCAGGAGTGATAAAAAAGGAGAAGGAGAGGAGGACACCATGGGCCAGGCACCCAGCTGCACAGCTAGCCACAAAATGGGAAGGAAAGAAAGGTATGTAGAATGGAGAAATGTAAAAGCCCAGATCCAGAAGGTAGATGGGATAATTAATTAAGAAAAGCTGGCTAGAAACAAGGTAACCTAAGGCTGGGCATTCATAAGTAAGAGTAAGTCTCCATGTATATATGTGGCAACTTGGTGCCTGGCCCCCAAAAAGGAAAGAGTAAAACACAACCAAGTACAGTCTCACTTTCAGTTTTTCAATCATAATTTCCCTGAGACACTGCTTGGGGCATAAGCTGTCACTTACACTGGATTCCAAGAAGCACAAGTAAGTAGGGGTAGTGTGAGAGAGGGAAAAATTAACTGAGGAATGAGCATGTGCACGTTTTTGTATTGGGGTGACTAAGGCTCAATCTCACTGGGGTATTGTGTATGATATGCCTCTAAAATGACCTGGTGAGAAGAAGAAAACCTGTGAGATTTCACAGATGTATTCTTGTCACTCACGCATTGTTGACGACTGCCAGGTGAGAATTAGATTACTACCACTGTTTGAGAAGTCTACAGCTGGATGTGTTTGAGGAAGGGAGTTGCCAGAGTTACCAGATGAGCAGGATGGAGCTACATTTTTAATGTTAAATAAAACCTAAGTAACCTGACATATAATAAGTACTACATTAATGTAATTACTAGGTTTTGGTTTTGTTACTTATCTTGGGAGCTAACTGGGAAGATGCAATGCTCACATCAAAAGCCATATATAAAACTAAATTTTATGTAGATTTTTAAACAAGTATTTTCCATTTTAATTTAGTAATCATACCTTTAAATGCTTTGTGAAACCAAAGACAACATCTATTTACTTAAGTGTAAAAATGAAAGAGGGCTTTTTACTTTATACTTTTGCAATGAGATATAACGGTGAAGATCTTGAAAAATTTTGTCACGTTTTACTGCATTACCTGCAACACTCAACCTTAGATTTTAGATAGATCAACTTAAAATGATATCATATGGATTGTGAATTGCCTTAGTGGGTAAAGGAACTTGTCACAAAGTCTGACAACCTGAGTTCCAATCCCAGGACTACATGGTAGAAGGAAATAACTAGCCCCAAAGGTTATGCTCAAACACTCATGCATAGACCACAGTAAGCACATGTACACACACATACACACACACACACTTTATAATTAAAAATTATATAAGTAAAATATCATGTTTTGATATTATTTTACTCAAATCTAGGATTGGGAGAAAAGATAAAATGATATTTACCTTTTTAATATCTTCAGGGCCATAAAAATATAATTAAATTGCATCTTGTTGGAGCTGAAAACATGGTTCAGTGGCCTCAAATTCAGTTCCCAGTATCCATGTCAGAAGACTCACAGCAGCCTATAACTCCAGCTCCATGGAACTCTCATGATGATAAACTAATACATTGACACACAGTATGGATATTTTAAAAATAAATCTTAAAAGGTTCCTTTTTTACATAGTAATATGTTTCACTCAGGATTCTAGATTTCTCTTGAAATTAATTAAGCATTCAAATGATCAGTGTTAACTAAAATTCAGTTTGTTTTTCAGCCACTAGGAATTCTATCACTGGAAAAGGGTCTTAAAACCCAAACCTAGATTGTCCTACATTGATTATTTCTCATCAGCAAATTTCATTCAACCTTATAAGTACACAAAGCTGTATGGCAAGTTATCCAAAACTGATTTTAATTCGGTTATAAGTATTCTAATGTAAGCTGAAACATGCAAGCTTCAATGTGATAAACTTAACACAGACTCATTGATAGTACACCTTTCTTATCATTTTGAGTTTTAATATGAATACTATGAACAGATTCCGTTTTCCATTTTTTTTCCTGATAATCTCAACTATGAAAAATTTTGGGAGCCACAAATATGACTCAGCAGATAAAACATTTACTAAACATACCAGAAAACCACAGTTCAAACCTCAGAACTCACATAGAGGTAGAAGGAGAGGACCAGTTCCCCAAAGATGCCCCCCAATGTCCACACGTGTACTATGGCATTTTTGTACCACCAACCCTATAAATTGTCATTAAAATAAAGTAATTGAAGGCAACAAATGTTATTCAGAGTGTTTGATCTCTCATCATGGCTAATTAACTGACTTTTTAATTTTATTCATCATATCCAATTTTATTTACTGTTAATGTTTTGTTTGTGTTTTGAGACTGGGTCGCTCTAAGCAGCCATGGCTGTCCTGGAACTCACTATGTAGACAAGGCTGGCCTTAAACTCACAGAAATCTGCCTTGTCTATTCCTTTGAGTTCTGGGAATAAAGATGAGAACCATCATGCCCACCCGAGCTTTATTTTCTTTAGAATGAGTTTACATTTTGAATCTAAGTGTGGCTTCCTTATAACTGGAGTGCCCTATGTGACTACATATGTGAAGCACTAGTTGACTGCTTTCTGGGAGATGGTACACCCTATGTAAATGTTTAGATTCCAAAATGATCAAATAGCAGAGCATCCTATTTTCAAGGAAGAACCTTAACTTCACAGAAGATTGCAAAGACTAACAATAATCTAAAGTGGTTTAGATTTATCTAAACAAGTGCTTCATTTGCTATGACCCCACAATGTGCTGATAGTCAACAATGAAATTTCATGGATCAGAGAAAAGTGGCGTGTAACACACAAAACACTCAGTAGCAAGAATGCCACCATGACATCACCATTTTAGTGCTCTCAAGTCTACTTCTCATCACCATGTAAGGGCCCCAAGTGTCAGATAAAAAGACAATGGTTTATAACATAGTTGAGAAATTCAGGGATAAATACTCAGAGGAGAATGCTAAGTGTCTTGGGGTATCTATTGCTTTGAAGGGAAACCATGACCACAACTCTTAAAAAGGAAAATCTTTAATTATGATGGCTAGATTACAGTTCAGAGTTTCCATATATTATCATCATAGTGGAACATGGTGTCATGCAGGTAGACATGGCACTAGAGATAGAGTTGGGAGTTTTTACATCTTGATTTGCAGGCAACAGGTAGTTGGTTCAATATTTAATAGCATATACTCAGTACCTGAGGTCAGTTCCAATCACCCATATCAGGTCATTCACAACCATTTGTAACACCAGTTACATGGGATATGATTTTCTATTCTGGCTTCTGTGAGTATCAAATACATGTGAGCATGAAGGCACATAGGTACACATACACAAAGAAAAGTAATACTTTTTTAAAACTAATAAACTAAAGTAAACTTATAAAGTAAGTTGTATTCTTGTATTTAAGATGATGAATATGGATATAAAATGTTTATAACACTTTTATTGTTTATTACAAAACATAAAAAGAAAAAGAAAATATATTTGTTTAGTTTAACTTACAGCTACAATTAAAGTAAGAAAGTAAAACATTTTTATCTTTTATTTATTCTTGAATAATTTCAGAGATGTATGCCATGTATTTTTTATTGTATTTGAGCTCTCATTTACCCTCTTCAATTTGTTGGAGCCCCTACAACAGGCCTTCCTCTCAACTTCATGTTTTACAGATTGTGGAGGCCTGTTCAAGAGGTTTCAGAGAAAAACAATTTTAGCAACTGAACTAGAGACAGTTTCTATGATATTTTGGCAAAGTTATGGATGCCTTCTGACTTTGTCCTAAGAATTTGTCTGAGACTAAACTGAAAAGCGATGGAATGATTTCTTCAATGGAGATTTCTAAACAGCATAACATTGACTCACACAGGCCTACAACCAAATACAGTGAGTATGACAAAAAGAAATACAAAGTTTCATTTTAGAAGAAAAATGACCCCAGAATTTTAATGTTGGAATCAAGCTTACTCCTGAAAAAGATGAGATTAAGAAAAAAACATGATCCAAAATGAACCAAAAAAAAGAAATAGTGCCCTCAGGGCAGGCACCTAACCAACTAAGCTTCCAACTTATGACAAGGGAAAAGGAATTTTCTGATTCTACCATGAAACTATACAATAAAAGTTACTGCAAATGTAATTCAATGAGGTCAGTCTTCATCCAACATAGGCAGCTGAACTGGGCAATGTTGTATGTGTGGTACTGGTTTTGGAGTCATTAAGGAAGCACAAATAAGGGGGTTATGAAATCTTCCTGTTTTTCAGGGAGTCATTAAGGAAACACAAAGTGGTTGTGGAATCTTACTCAATTTTCAGAAGAGTTGCTGAGAGCAAGTGACAGGATGTTCCTATATGTAGACCCTGAGAGAACATTGTGAAAATCTCTGAGAATGAATACTGGATGGCACTGGATATGTCAAAGTGCTAGCAGTGAAAGAGATGATATATTTACCAAGGAGAGCTGTTAAAGAGAGAGTGGAACCAGCCCATAATAGAGATGTGTGTTAGAGTCAGAAAAACTGGAAGGACAGTTTTATGTCCATAATAACTGGAAATTCAATTGCTATGTAGTTACATTTTAAAATAGTTTTTATATTAAGGAAATTCTACTTTTTAGTTGAAACGCTATGTCTTATGCCTCCCAAAGTGATGGTATTATCAAGTGTCACCCTTTGAGAAGTGATTACATCTTGGGAGTAGAAATTTCATAAATAAGGTTAGACCCTCCTAATAATAATAAGGAAGCTTGTTTAGGCATTCCATATGTGAAAATGAAATAAAAAGAAACCGGTCATAAAGATGATGCTCTCACCAAACACCTACTTCTATCAGAATATTGATTTAAGTATCTCTCATCTCTAGAACTTCAAGGAATAATAATTTTTGTTAACTATACAAGCTATATTATTTTGTTGTAGCAACAAGAATGGATTAAGACAACCTTTCCAACCAGTGTTTCTAGATAAGAGGTTGGAAAATTATAACTTATATGTAACACTAATTGATAAACGGTCTTATTAATTAAAAAAAAACAGAGCCAAATATTGGGGTGAAAACTGAAATATCAGAGGAATAGGACAAGCCACAGCCAACCTCACCTTACCAACTCCTCAGCCTTCAGAGAGAGCTACTTCCTGTATACTGATGCCTACATACCTTTCTGTGCCCTGCCATCTTACTTCCTCTCTCCACCCAGCTACATCATTTCCTCTTTCTGCCCAGCTCTATCACTTCCCGTGGGTCTCCAGACCTCTATGGTTAACTAGCACTGGGATTAAAGATGTGTGCCACCACACCTGGCTATGTTTCCAGTGTGGCCTTGAACTCACAGAGATTCAGATGGATCTCTGCCTCCTGAATGCTAGGATTAAAGTCATGTGCTAACACTGCTTGACCTCTATATTTAATATAGTGGCTGGCTTTTTCTTCTGATATCCACATAAACTTTATTGGGGTGCACAAATATCACCACACTTATAAGCCCATACTCTGCTACTATGTCCAATTGTTTGTTGCATAAATACAAGCTTTATAAAGTGTTCCTTTTTTATTTATTTAATTTAAAATATTTATAACAGACTTGATGACTGAGACACTAAATTTGAAGAATTGTTAAGAAAAATGTAACTTCTCAAAACCTAATTGTGTTACAAAATGTCTTTTATTGCTAATATCATCTTTGTATTTTATCTAATTCAAAACTTATGAAAATATGGATGGTTGGCTATTTAAGTATCAGTATAATATCCTTAATGCTGACTAAAACTGCTTAACTGTATGCTATGTGCTATCTGATGCTTTAGAAAAAACAATTTGTTGACTTCTTTTATAGCTCTTAATACAAATGAGCATAACCTTCTGGAGATAAAGATAAAAATATAGTTTTGCTCCTCATCCAACCATCAATGTGGCTACATTGATTTTGATTCAGTAAGCCACAGATGAGTACTAGTAATGCCAATATTTTTTTCAGAAACAGAGAATGCTGACATATTGAGATGGTTCAATACTGCCTTTTAAGTATAGTCACATCTTGTTTAATGACAAATTTCCTTGTTGGAAATTTAGTTTTGTGATTTTTGTGGTTGTACGAACATCGTAGACTAAGTATAAGTCCCTTAAGGCACACAAGTGGCTAGGCCCCTCCCCTGAGGACCTTCAATCATCAGGCTCCACCTACAGAACACAGAACTGTTCCATCAGTCAGACCCAGCCCACACCCTACAAAATAAAAAGCCCATGGTTAGGATTTGAAATCTTGCCAATTTCTGTACTTGCTCCAAGCTCTGGACATGAACTCTCACCAGTCCTCATCTATCCCTCATATTTAGTAAGAAAATATTTATATCTGCTATGTTATAAAATGCCCATCATTGATAAAAAATATTATTATACAGTATATAACTCTGCATAGGAGTTAGTGATTCCCTATGAAGATGATGTAAATATTCATTATAAAGTCTTCTACAGTGTGAATTGACACAGTGATCCCACTTATCTGTGTTTCCTTTCATCAATGAACATTTCTCTAATCACCTTTCTTTGTAATATAGCTTTTTTTATAAGCAACAAAGCCTTACTTGGTTTTAGAAGTTGGTGGTTACTGATTTGCAATGGTATGAAAAAAGAATTATGATTCATGTGTTTCACAGATTTGCTCTTAAGTTCATTTTTATGTTCTTTTTATTATTGTTTATGTATTATATGAAGGTATGTTTTTACATATCTGCCAACTGTTTCATTCATCAATTTATTTGTCCATCTAATTTTCTTACAAATGTATTTTAAATTTGCTGCACTGCCTTTGATCATAATTGTTTTGAAATATTTGTTTTCTATAAATATAAAATACAACGTGTGCTCTCATCTATTTTGCCATTTACCAATGTCCCCTGGAAAGAGCAAGTTTAGTGACATCCTGTTACAAACAACAGGTTGTTTTTTTTTCATTCAAATTATTATGATAGCAAATTTCAGAATTATCTTTAGAAAGTAGAAATTATTGGTAGAATAACTCAATAATAATTCAAGAAAGCATTGGATTAGGAAAGAAATAATCCTTCTTCTGAGACAAATTCTAACATAAAATGCTGGTCTCCTTTAATGAAGGTTTAAATGTCAGCCAGCAGTTCATATATTTCGTGATCTAATATTTTATCCTTTACTCTTTTTCTTTACTCCAGTCATGTTTATTTACCATTTCATCTATAATGATGTTACAAAAAAATTCAAATGGCTCTTCTTTTAGTGATGTGGATGATTTTTTTTCATATATTCTGTGAATGTTCTCCATTTGAGGACAATATGTCAACTATTACCTTACAAAGTTATGTTATACATTTTCTCAATGCTAAAATCATGGTTTGATATTTCAATACATAAAAATTAAATTTACTGGAACTCCTCTTTTAATTAATGAATTCCTTATGGTAATCAAAGTCATTTACATAGTTTTCTTAACTAGTCAAGGAGCTTTATTTGACATCTATAGACAGATTCCACATTGTTTTATTTACTTAATGACATTTTTAATTTCTTTTGGAATCATAAATGACAGCTATGCTTTGCATATTATAAAGATAAAGGTAACAATAAATACATGTAGTCTAAGATCAGTTTTAGTGTTAGTAACAACTCAAAGTTCTTGGCCTAAGATTGAAACTAATATTTCAACTAACCAATTATTTTTCTCTCATAAACTCAACATAAATTATCTCTGTGACTTGTACTGCTTTTAGAGAAAGTTGTGTTACTGTTTTTCAATGTATATGCATTATAAAAATAATTATGGAGAAATATTTGTATTTTAGCATTAAAATACTTAACATTTAGGCATGTATCAGAACTGAGAATTAGTGAACATGATGCAATCATCTAAGGAAGTCATACTGCCTAAGGTAAAACTGTTTATTTTGGGCATTCAAGAAAAAGACATACCTGGCATATATTTGACTTTCTTTCCTTTCTGTTTTGTTTTAGTTGGAACAAACTGAAACAGAAGTTTCAAAATAATATATTTTCATGTGTTTTTATTCTTTGTCTGAGTGGATCACATTAATATGCTATGACATTATAAAACAAATAAAGCCTGCATGTAGGTAGGCAAATTCATTGCCTAGTTGCTACATCACAAAACTTGAACACTTCCTTAATCAGCACCTCTTGTATATGCTTTTATGCCTTGAAATATTCACACATTATGTGCACATGTAATATATATTCTTTGGTACTCAGATATTCTATTCCATGCATGCATTATGAAACCATAATACCAGCCAGAGCCCATAGATTTGCTATTTCTTTAATTAGTACTATTTTTGAATGTACATTCTTTTAAAAGTACATCTTCAGTTAAATACATTCGTTCACATATGAACAATAGACAAGTTTCCCACCATCTACTGTTTCCTAACATGCAAATCTTAAAAATCATCTCAGCAAAGTTGCACAGTATCACATACATGCTACAAATTAAAAATTGAGGTCATGTTTAGAAAAACTACATAAACCAGAAAAATTCTATATATCCTCGAAAATTTGCAGGGTGGACTGAGGTTAGGTAAATGGAGGTAAAAGAGTAGTGAGGAATAGATTAGCACCAGTCATTTTTTTAAAGAAAGTTCATTCATAAAAGAAGTACTCCTGAGGATTAAGATCACTGTTAGTAGTTACATCAAGAATAAGAATAACTATAGAAATTGAATGGAAGCTCTTCTTGATGTTTAATCTTAGACATCAAAATAGGCAGAATTTTATTGTCCTTTCAATATTCATTTACATTTGTAATATTCAAATGACTATTTGTATCCTTTAATTTGTGTCAATTAACAAATTTCTCTTTTTTTCCCTATACAGAATAAAGAAATGCATTCTTGGTTTTTCTTTTTTTTTCTTGTCTGGAAACAAATTAATTGACTTGCTTCTAATATGTAAACAACAATTTTTTAACATGACCTTAGTCTTATTACTGCAATAAAAGTATTTTCTCTTTTAAATAATATTAAAATATAATATATTGTATAAGAAATCTATTACTTTAAATACTTGGGGTTTTCTGAAACAGAAAAAAGAAAAGTATGTAAATTCCTCTGTGTTTTATTCAAGAATTTAGAATGTGAAAAGTTGTCAATGATAAGTGACTCTAAAAAATCTCTTGTAATTCTATATATATGCTTAAATTTATTTTTTAAATAGTATCAGATATTGATAAATAAGTCCTTTATTTTTCAAAAGCAAAATATGCCCCTTTGGAAACATAGTTAATCCCTAAAGGTGTAATTTTTTATTATATGCTATATTTTGTTTAATGATTAGTTCGAAATAAAAAATTAGTCTGATGACTAAGAAAATCATGCCATATAATATCAGCATTCATTCTTTTTTACTAGAGATCCCTAAAGAACTAAGAACATTTTTTTAAAAGGCCCCAAATTTTGTATTATAAATTTAATGAAAAGACATTTTGCCTGTCAAATAAAACATATTTTAAAACATTGACTGTAATTTTTGAGGATCAAAGTACTTGGAGTTATGTTTTTACATTATAAGAATTAGAAATCCAGGCATGGTGGTACACAGCTTTAATCCTAACACTCTGGAGACAGAGGTAGGTGGATCTCTGTGAGTTCAAGGCCACCCTGGTCTTCATAAAGAGTTTCAGGTCTGTCAGAGCTATGAGACACTAACTTAAAGAAAAGAAAAACCCAGAAAGTTGACTGAAGACTGGAAAGATGGCTCGGTGCATAAGACTACTTGCTGATCTTGTGGATGACCTGGGTTCAGTTCCCAGTACCCACATGGTGGTTCATAACCATCTGTAATTCCAGTCCCAAAGGATCTAATGGTCTTTTCTGACCCATGTACACATACACACATGCTGACAAAACATTCATACACAAAAATTAAAATAAATAAGTCTTTAAAAGCAAGAATTATAAGCTTTAGTATATAGATTGCATCAAGTCTTTATATTTTCAGATTTACTTTTATAGCTAGAGTTTTTCTAACCTACTGTTGATGATCTGCTGAAGCTATGTTGGGATACACTAATTCTCCTGAGTGTCTAAGAAATCATTTGTTAGGGCATGTGTTAAGAGAAGTAAACAATACTGTGACTGTATAAGGATTAACTAATTTCAGATGAGCAAGTACTACTTTTTCAGGAATTACTGTCATTATGTATTTCAGCACAGAAGACTGTGGAGTCTGATTGGTCTTTATACAACATGTCATTAATGTATAAAAAGTACTGCTCTACAAATAATTTTATAAGTTATAGCTATCATTACAGGCTTTGCATTCATGATATACTTATCAATCAAATGGTGAACAATCATGGATATATAGTATGGTAAAATAATAGAGATCATTGATAAAAACCTTAACATTAAAAGAGGATATTTCAACAGCAAAAACATAAAACAATATAAATATTTTTTCAGTTCTCAATTACATTTCCATATACTTCTTAAAATCTCATTGAGCTCATTAAACATTGAGAGGAGAATTGAAAAGTAATCAGATGGAAGGGTATCTCTTATGTTATTAATGTATTCATTAATGGTTTGTGGAATAGTGTATTTTAGGTGTTAAACACACTTCTTTTATCTCTCTTCAGTCATTTACTGACACATTTCTAATTGCTCTCTTAGATTAGGTTATTTATTTGCAAGGAAGATGATATTTAATCCATTTCCAAACTCTTAATTAAAGAAAGAATTATTATTGCTTCCAACTGCCCAAGCTAAAAATTTCACTTACATGTATAACATTTTTCTTTTTCCTTAGTCATTGGTAATACATTAACAAAAGTTTGTGTAAAATCTCGTGTACAAAAGGTTACTCCCCTCCCCCAAACTTTTATGATGATGGCATGTAATCACAAAGTAATAGTCTTAATTTTCTTCTCCCTGGGCATATTTAAAATTTGTCCAAGTGATAACATTGAAAACTTAAGAAAAACAAAACTTGTATTAAACAGTCAATTTTTAATCAAACGCTGGGCAATAAGCTTTTAAAACATTTGGCAACATTGTTGCTTTTTGGAAGTCTATTATATGTAGCTAAAACTTAAGCACAAGATTGAAAAACTACTCAGATGTTTTTATTCAAATAGACATTACCTTTAATATGTATTTTCTTCATGGTTTTCAGATACTGAATTTTCAATTTTTTCAAATGGTTACCTAGATCCTCAGTATATCTATTTTACCTCTTCCTAGAAATCCTTAATTTTGCCTGCAATTTATAAAAGTTAATCTTTAGAGTATAGTCACACTTTAAATATTAAGTTCCAAAATCATGTATTAAATTTGATAATTTTTACTTTCTAAAACTCTTCCTAGATTTGTATTAGATCTAAACTTCTTAAAGAATCAGGCTAAAATGATGTTTTTTGCTTATAACTATGATTTTAAAATGATATTTGGGGCTGGAGTTATGGCTCAGTGGGTAACCCTGGCTTCTTTTCCAGAGGACCAGGGTTCAACTGCCAGGACTCACATGGCAACTCACAATTATTTGTAACTTCAATTTCAGGGGACCTTGAAACTTCAAACAGACATACATATAAGTAAAACAATAATGTTATAAAATAAAAGTAAATAATCTTCAAGAAAAAAGTGTTTGAAATGAATACAGCAAGTGGTATATAATTGCCATTGTATCTATTTAAAATTTTCTGTATTTTGATAGTTGCAATAATATAAAGTAGGTACATCAAACATGAAAATATTGTCTTCTGATTTTTGTTTTCCCTATAAATTTATATGCATAATACATGTTGAAAGTATTCAAAAATTTGGCAACATATCTAACTATTTTGTTTTAATTCTCTGGAAGATTTTAATTTATACACATTATAGAAGTTTTGTCAAACTCATGATGTACAATGTTTCCAGAAAGAGATGTTCAGCACAGTGTAGTTCACAAATTTTAAAAAATATTGATTCAAAAATCTTATTCAATATCCATATTAAGGAAAATTATGAAGTCCCTAAAATCATGATATAAATATCAATATTTATTGGTATGAAAAGTTGACTACAGTTCAATGTAAAACAAAAATATAAAACACTACATATTTTATTTTTGTAAAAATGTGTGCACACCTAAGAAAAAATATAAAAGTATGTACTAAAATTGAGAATGGGCTCCTTCTATAATGTTTACATGTTTCATGATTATGATTATGTATTATATTTATAATCAGCAAATCAGTGATTTTCATTTTGAAAATACTAGACTATGTATATACACACAATTGGGTATTATTACACAGAAATATCCTACATTCTTTTAATGGTCAAAGAGCTAAGAGAAGTTTTAAAATTGTATAATTACTTTATATTATTCATGAAAATGAAGATTCATATGTAAACAATAAAAAGTCAACTGAGAAGAAACATCAAACGTTCTTATGATTGGATCTGTCGTATGAGTGAATTATATATTCTAAGAGAGTTATTAAAGTTTCACATAATTTGACTATTTTTCTAATTTTTAAAGGTGTTTATTCTGATGATAAGTGTTACATGGATTGAAAGCTGAAAGTGATGAGAAGAGGTTACTTCAAAGAAATGTGGAAAATTTGTAGTTTGGAAATTGCATGGTTCTTGAAGAACAATTTATTTCCCTTAATGTTTGGAAACAGCAGGTTTTATTTTAAATGTTCTGGATTAGCAAAGAAGAACTATTTGGAGTTAATAATTCTCATATAATAGATGAAGAAGTATGACGTAATCAAGGGAAAACCTGTTTCTTAATGAAACAACTGTCAATGTTTGCACATGGATATATTCAATGTTTCCAAGAAACAACAGGTCCTTAGTTTTTCAGCAGTAGCATATAAAATGTTTAAAGGTAAAAATGAGTGAGTGCATTATTAAATTTTCTTGCTAATTTAATATAGTCTACCTGTAGGTATGCATTATATGCATTTAGGAAAACAACTATTAAGGATATTTCTTAGACTATTTTCAAATATTAAATCTCTTGGAAAAGATTTTTAAGACACCATCAGATTTTGAATAGCCATTAATCAATGCAACAGTTTCTAAAAGCACCGATTGCAAAACAAGAGCATGACATTAATAAAAACCTCTTCCAATACTTAGTCAAAGCTACTAACAAGTGTGTAGTATGCTCCCATATATTTGTAAAGGAAAACTAATACAAAAAAAAGGAAAGAATTTGCATATTTTTTTAAAGAATATTCCTTTTAAGTAATAATTTTAAATGAAATTATGTAGCAATTTTAAGTGTCTCATATGTATTTCCCTATTCTTTGATGATTTTTCAAAAAAGCAAGTGGCAACTTTTCATTGTGCCAAAATCAGAAAGAAGGACAATGCTAAGAATGTGTTCATGGAGGAAATTAAATTAATATTATGGTAATAAAGACAGAAATATAATGAATTGCCTCATTTAGGCAATTTAGAAAAAATGAAGAGGAATAAGCTTTAAATTCCTAAGGATAGAGATTATGTAAAAAAATATAAAATGACAATTTTACATTTAAAAATTATGTTCTTCACTAAAATGAACAAGATTTTCTATGTACCCTTTCCAAAATAAGATTTCACACACACGAAACAAAACCAAACAACAAAAACCTGTGAATTTGCAGAAAATCACCCCGTGTTACAAAGGAACCCAAGTTAAGTATCCAACAGTTAGGGCTCACCACCTGCGCCTGGCTTGGCCCAGAGTGACATTCAGTGGCTTAGAGCCTACTACCCGACCATTCATCTCATCCACTGCTTTGGTAGCCTCTTCAAAAGAAGAGAAGCAGACGACACCAAACCCTTTGCCTTGTCCCACTTCCATCATCACTTTGGCTCGACTAATTGATCCAAATGAAGAAAATTCTTCCTTCAGTTTTTCATCATCGATGGTTTCATCCAGGTTCTTAATATAGACAGGCACTCCTGGAGGTCTACTTTTTTCTTTTAATTTCAGCCTTTCAAATCTCCGCCTTAACTCAGCCAAGCGTTCAATTTTCTTCTGTGCTCTGCCTACATATAGGAGTTTCCCGTCTATTGACTTGCCATGCAGGTCTAGCACAGCTTTTTGGGCAGCATCATGTGTCTCATATCTTACAAATCCAAAGCCTTTAGATTTCCCACTGGCATCTCTTATTACTTTAACACTCTCAGTTGGCCCACATTCACTGAAAAGTTTCTTTAGTTTTTCGTCATCCATGTCATCTCCCAAGTTTTTCACGAAAACATTAGTAAATGTTGCTCTATCCCTGGTTCTGACTTCAGCTGCTCTCTCTTCAGGAAATTTGAATCGGCCCACATACACCTGGCGGTTGTTGAGTCGGACTCCATTCATGTGCCAGATAGCTCTATTGGCAGCAGCAAGGCTATCGAAATGGACATAGGCATAACCCTTAGAGCCATTGTCATCACATACGACTTTACAGGAAAGAATGTTCCCAAAAGCGGAAAATAAATAAAACAGGGCCCTATTGTCTACGGATTTATCCAAGTTTTTGATGAATATATTTCCAACTCCAGACTTTCTTAAGCGGTCATCTGGCTGTGACCACATGAGGCGAAATGGTTTACCATTAATTAAGTCAAAATTCATTGTGTTCAAGGCCCACTCAGCATCTGCAGGAAAGCGGAAGTTAACATAACCATAACCCAGGGGGGTGCGGGTCACCGGGTCACGGCAGATTCTAGTGAAGCGTAGAGGGCCGGCAGGTCTGAACTTCTTATAGAGCATGTCTTCTGTGACGTCAGGGCCCAAGTCACCGACATACAGGGCAGCCTTGAGGTACTTCTTTTTCTTGCCAGCAGTATTAGGTTCCCCACTCCCCATCTCTCAGCACTTAGAAGAGGATCTCTTGGGAGAGGGGAAGGAGGCGCCTTTCTCTAATCTAGGGGCCAAACAGCTGTTCTTGAACAGAAACAAGCCAAGGCAGGCGAAGGGAAGCTAAAAGCAGACTCAGGTCGCTGTTGAGGCTGAGGCTGAGAAAATGAAGTTCAGAAACAGCTGGTCAGCAGGCTCAGAACAAATGTTATCAGACAAAAAGGCAACCCAAAAAGCAGTCTGTTCTCCCTAAGAGGACTTACAGTTTTTCACCCCTTCAGATTTCAAACTGGTTTCAAAAGCCTGCATTAAGAACGCAATATCCCCTTTCCCGTTAAAACTAAAGAAATCATCAAGCATCTGACTGGCTCCCCACATCTAGCTTTGGCAACAGAGGCCTCCTCGGGAATGGATTTCTGAAAAAAGCATAGGCCCCGGAGCTCCTGTGGATTTAAAACGCCAGCAATCCCTTGCAGAGTCCAAGTGTGTGTATTCCTCCCCCAGCCAGGGTCAGGCTTGCTGGGTGCTCACTAAGGCCGCTCAGCGCTCAGCGTCAGTGAAAGGGAACACTAGACACTTGGTGCGCTGGGTTAGGCAGGCAGGCTGCTGGGAGCGGATCACACAGAGAGACAGACACACAGACACACGCGTGGGGAACCGGAGACCGCCCAGATCCCCAAGATGCCCACTGGGTACGGACCGAGTGAGGCGCGGTGATTTCTGCAGTCTGAGGCTCTCCGCAGGTCCAGAGGGACTGACTGGCTGCCGTGCTGTAGGTCTGCTCTGACGCGAGGCGGGTCTAGACAGATGCTGGGCGGAGTCAGCAGAGGGCAGATGCGCCAAGGGCAGACCCAGTGTGGACCTATATACAAGGGTTGCTTCCTGCCGGACAGAGCAACCGAGGAACTAAGGGACTAAGATCTTGTAGCTCTGCTAGGGAGGGCAGGCGGGGTGCTAGGAAACCCGGAACCTTGCTAAGTAACTTCCCGCTTATGAGAGAGAAGAGAGAAGAGAGAGGAGAGAGGAGAGAGGAGGGAGAGAGGAAGGAGAGAGGAGGAGGGAGAGGAGAGAGGGAGAGGGAGAGAGGGAGAGAGGGAGAAAGGGAGAGAGAGAGAGAGAGAGAGAGAGAGAGAGAGAGAGAGAGAGAGAGAAGAAGAAGAAGAAGAAGAAGAAGAAGAAGAAGAAGAAGAAGAAGAAGAAGAAGAAGAAGAAGAAGAAGAAGAAGAAGAAGAAGAAGAAGAAAGAAGGAGGAGGAGGAGGAGGAGGAGGAGGAGAAGGAGGAAGCAGCAGGGAGGGACTGAGATGGTGTTTAGATTGTCTTTATCAAAGTTTACTTGTTCATTACATTTAAGCGTAGTTTATACTGCTCACTTCAACATGATACAAAATGGTTATGACCAGAGTAGAAAGAACTCACATTTGTTTCTGATGAATTTTCTTCTTTTGGCGGGTTGGGGTATGGTGGATGTTGGGAAAGAAGACACAGGTAACATACTTATTTCAGTTCCTTGGAAACTTGAGAGTTCATAGCTGTGCTGGGTGTCCAGTGCTAAATGATCACTAGGTCAAAAGGAACACAGAGAAGAGCTTGGCCTTTACCCTTACTAATCCTACATAATGGTAGAATTATCCCCCAGGGAGTAGGCAGAGTTCTTTTCTTTGCTCCAGTGATATTTAGGTTTTAATGGCTGGAGAGCCATAAAATGGCTCTTGATGCAACTTAGTGACAAAAAACGCTAATTTTTTTAATCAGCATTCAAGTTGAATACTTTAAAAGTCACAGTATAAAAGTTGAAAAATTTATGAAATTATATAATTAACATTCTAAGATAACATAAGGATGTTAGGACATGTGCATTTTCTAAAATTAACTATAAATATCAATGTGAATTGTCAACTTTAAAGCATTATGGAGAAAAAGTTGCTGTATCTATCTATCCATCCATCTATCTATCTATCTATCTATCTATCTATCTATCTATCTATAATCTATCTGTGTATTGTGGCCTGTCTATCAATCTATCAATCTATTAATGGTGGTCTTGTGGTACTGAAGATTGAATCTTGAGCCTCCAGCACTGTAAGTAAATCTTCAGAATTTTTAAAAAGCTGTTTTGGAGAGAATTGTGCACATTTAAGGAAATTCATGAAACTCAATCACACTTAAATCATCATGGAAACCATTGAAAAATCTTACCTTCACCAAAGAAAACAAAATGAAGAATTTTCAGTACTTAAGCTGGAAAAAAAAACACCTATTAACAAGAAAACGATATTACATGTTCTTACCTGGGAAGTTCTTAGAATAACAAGCTAAATTTAAGTGCCTTTAAGATCTTTGGCATTTTATAGTATCTATTGAATTGTATAATTAATTAAATGACATTTACTCTCAGTAATTAGTAAAATAGTGACTATCTATTGTGTCTCTGTGCTCTTTTTCTAGTGTTTTTGCTTACTTAAGTCCTGGAGGATAGGTATAGGGGGGAAAGGCAAGTGAACAAACAAACTATATCAAGATAGGGGCCAAAAGTAGAAAGACTTATAGATATCTTGCTACATTTTTGCATTCATATATATATTTTTGTAGTAGTCTTTCTGGGTCAGAGAGTACAAATCAGCAGTAAGTCCATTTTTTACCAAGTATGAATGCCTAGGTTTGATACACAGCACCATTAAAAACAAAATATATGCATTCATAATATAATATCTTTCATTATATATGTAAGTAATGATTGTTCATACTTTTCTCATAAACTATGAGTTTATTGAAAATTCTGTGAGGAAACATTATATATAAAAAGATTAACTCCCACATTCTCATCACTACCAAAAATCTATCATATTTTAATTTGTCCATAATGTGATTCATTTACCCAGATATTTTTCTAAGATTAAAGGCAGAATTGGATTGTTAAGATACTTATATTTAAATTATTATTCTCTTTGCACTTAGCAAATCTATGGAGTATATGGTAGTATAGAGTATTTTTGACAACAAAGATCAGATTTCACAAGTCCTGAACTACATTCAAATAAATGAATTCTACTTGAGTACATTCATCTGGGCAGAAATTAATTTCAGGAATGGAAAGCATTTGGAGCCATAATTTATTCAGTCATGTTAACATTTAGATTAAAATTTCTTGTATATTCAAACATAAAATACGTATTAGTGAACTATCAAATACAAAACATTTTTGTTGTGTTTGTTACATATAAAGCAAGTTTATAATACATGTAATTCTCATTCATATGTTAAAGTCCTTTAAAGAGCCACACCCAGATACCTAAAGCAGTTGCTTGAGGAATGGCTATATGTTCCTTTCAAAATATGAGACACATTTTACATAAGGAAAGAATCATGGCCAACTGGCATTCTCAACTGCATTCCACTACACATTGTTGTTTACAGTTCATAGGAATGTGTCAGTATGAGTGGAGGAAAAAGGGAGTTCGGGTTTATTTTTGTCCCTTGTCTTAACAGGCACATAATATTGTACTATCAAATAAAAATTTCAGCTGTATAAATGGTTGGGGATTTATTGTGAAAGCAAACTTGGTATTCTCTTGAAAAAACAAAGGGATGGCAGAATAAAGTGTCATAAAATAAGAACTTTACCACCTAAAACTTGACTTATAGTTTTAGAAAAGAGAAAAAAACAATTTTGATACCTATCTCAAATCTTCACATAGTAGCCTGTAATATGAAGTGCAGTTACTTTGTATTAATCAAAATTTTAAAAGATGGATGAGCAAAAACATAAAATTTAAAAATTTTCATATGGAATATTAAGTCATCAATTCATCTGTAACCATACTGAATTTAAAAAAAATCAAAATTTCTTTTTGCCCTTAAAACACTGCACAAACTAGGTATAAAAGAAAGTTAACTCAACATAAAAAGATCATATTTGAAATGCTCACAGTTTATGTTATTTTCAAAAGTGAAAAATCAGGTGTATTTTATTTCAAGATAAGGATAAGGCAAGAATGTCTATTCATGCAACTTCTTCTCACATCTGTTATGAAAAACAGAACAGAAAGAATGAAATATTTACAAGAAACATTACCAAGGAGAAAGAAAATCTATAGACCAGAAACTTTGAACTATAAAATAAAAAAAGAAATAAAATTATACACACAAATATGAAAGATACCCTCTGTCCATGAAGTGGAAAGTTTAATATTATGAAAATGACTATACCATCTGAAGATATTTAAAGATTCAGCCCAATCCCTATAAAATCACAATGATAATTTTATTGAAATATAAGCAAATTTATCAAAAACAAACACTAAACCTGAAAACTGGTTCCATTTTATTGGAATGTTTTTGTCAAATGTTGTATTCTAGGCAGTAACTTTCTTTAAATCTAAGATGTATTTCTTATAGATAACACATGGATTAGCTTTGTTTCATGATCCATTCAGTCAGCCTGTGTCTTTTGATTGATCAATTGAGGGCATAGTTATTTAAAGTTATCATTGAAATGTTTTTAATTATTGTGCTCACTGTGGTGTTAATTTTTGCTGTTGTGTTCTCAGTAGTACTTTGTGTTTTAGTAATTGTGGATTCATATTTTTACACATTCTCTTAGCTATGATAATTCCTCTTTTCAGCCTCAAATATTGATTATAGTATTTGCTTTGGGTCTGCTTTGTTGGATATAATGATTTAGGTTGTTTCTATCATGGGAGGATTTTATTCTCTTTCAACTATGGTGGACAATATTTCTGGATATATTAATCTAGGTTGACATTTGTGATCTTTCAGAAATTAGAGTCCATTGCTTTTAATCTCTTTTGGTTTTCAAAAATTCCATAGACAAATCAGCTGTTACTCTGTTGTGTTTTTTTGTGTGGCATGGAATTTTTCTCTTATAGCTTTCAATACATTTTCTTTCTTTTGTATACTTAGTGCTTTAACTGTCATATACCATGGTAATTTTCTTTTCTGGTCTTGTGTATTTTGCATTTTGTGGTATTTTCTGTGTCTGTATCCATATGTTATTTTCCTTTGCTTGGGGAAGCCTTTTCTTATGAGCTTGTTGATGATCTGGTTTATGCCATTTACTTGGAATTCTTCACCTTTATCAAAGCCTTTGATTTGAAGGTTTGCTTTTTTCATGGTGGCCTACAGTTCCTGTATGCTCCTTTCTTTTCATGTTCCTTGTTTATTTAATCTACATCTTCTACTTTATCTTTAATTCCTGATATTTTATATTCTGCTTGGTTTATTCTACTTATAATATATCCCTTTGAGTTTTCTAATTGGATTATTGCACATTTTTTTTTAATTTATTTTAATTTATTTTGCAATACAATTCAGTTCTACATATCAGCCACGGATTCCCTTGTTCTCCCCCCTCCCGTCCCCCTCACCTTCCCCCCCAAACCCCCCCCCCCCATTCCCATCTCCTCCAGGGCAAAGCCTTCCCCACAGACTGAGGTCAACCTGGTAGACTCAGTCCAGGTAGGTCTAGTCCCCTCCTCCCCAGGCCGAGCCAAACAATCCTGCATAGGCCCCAGGTTTCAAACAGCCAACTCATGCAATGAGCACAAGATCTGGTCCCACTGCCTGGATGCCTCCCAAACAGATCAAGCCAATCAACTGTCTCACCCATTCGGAGGGCCTGATCCAGTGGGGACCCCTCAGCCATTGGTTCATAGTTCATGTGTTTCCATTCATTTGGCTATTTGTCCCTGTGCTTTATCCAACCTTGGTCTCAACAATTCTCGCTCATATAAACCCTCCTCATTCTCGCTAATTGGACTCCCAGAGATCCACCCGGGGCCTAGTCATGGATCTCTGCATCCAGATCCCTCAGTAGTTGGATGAGGTTTCTAGCACAACAATTAGGGTGTTTGGCCATCCCATCACCAGAGTAGGTCAGTTCGGGCTGTCTCTCGACCATTGCCAGCAGTCTGTTGTGGGGGCATCTTTGTGGATTTCTGTGGGCCTCTCTAGCACTTTGCTTCTTCCTATTCTCATGTGGTCTTCATTTACCATGGTCTC